AAACTCCGAAGGACGACCGGTGCGTGGCTGGTCTTCCAGGCTTTCATTTCCTTTCTGGAAGCGACTGTACCAATCATAGGCAGTGCTCTTGGACACAGTGTCCAGGCCAAACGCGGTATTGATGTCAGTGATGGAATTGGCTGCCTTCTTCTTGATTCGGAAGTCATAAAGAAGAAGCAGGCGAACTTGCTCCTTAGTAAGAGGGTAGGGCTGGTTCATGGCTGGAGAGCACCAGGGCTGTAATAATATACGGTCGTATGCCGAAGGACACGACCTACTTATAAACACACGCAGAACATTCTAGCATGCTCTGGAAAAAAATTGTACTGGATATTCAAGAAATTCCGAGAACTTTCTTTCCAATCAGATACATGACTAAAAATTTTTCTCCCACATGAGGTCAAAAGGTGAGTGCACAAAAAAACACAACTAACCTCAATAAAAGAAGTGTTTGATGGGTCCTCGATTGTTATGTCCTGCAACGATCACCTGCCAAGGCAGCATGCTGGTAAACGCATTGACACACCAGCTCATATGACGGCTCATTTGGAATAAATATTCTGACAATTTTATGGTTTCCTCCTGGATAAATAATTTTATTGCTATCACCATTTTTCCCTGGAAAGCTATTCAAATTTCAAAATTAATCCCTTCATTTTTCACTCTGCAACTTAAGAACTGGTGTGTTGCAGCATTTGAAGGCTGGGACAGGCTTTAGCATATTTGTCATCCTCTACCTTTCCCATGAATACACAGTGCCTAATTTTTTTTTCTCAAGGAAGCATCTGAAACTCAGGATACTAGCTTGACCTATATATCTGGGTAAGTCACCCAGTTATAATTTCAGAATTTTTGTTGCTGCTCATTGAATCCAGGGTCTTTCTCCCTTGGCATATCCTCAACTGATGGAGACTTGAACAAATTAAATTCAGGAGTTGTTTTTGCTCTTTTCTCAAAAGTTTACTTTGTGAAGATAGAACAAAATAATCATCTCCCAACAAAATGAGGAGTCATCAACCTAGATTTAGAATAGCCCTTGTTCTTCATTACCAGCATGCAGCATGCTATAGTAGTAGAGTGCCATAGCCTATGACTCTTTAGGCTCACTTGACCAGAGCTGTAAATATATTGGAGTGGAGGGTTTTAACTTTCTGTCACAGCCTTGTTCAAGCAAGGTGTGAGGTCCTACACTATATAATGTACCAGTGCAGTAAGTGGAACACCCCATTGAGAACTGGCAGTCAATACTTTGTTGATACCCCTTTCCTCTTTCCCAACTCATCACATGCTTATTTATGAGTCTGATTTTGATGAGATTAATGATGAGTCTGATTTTGAGAGTCAAAATCCACACTACTCCTAATCTTTTTAGATTTTGACTTTTTTGATATGATTCAAGTGAATGCATTGATAACATATCTTACAAGGACTGAATCATATTAAAAATTCTGATGTGAAACAATGTAAACCTTTATTGCTATTATTCCAGAATATGGGGAATTCCTGCATTGCAAAGGGAAGAAGTTTATGGACTTCGATGAGATCCGGAAAGAAATTGAAGCAGACACAGACCGAATCACTGGAACAAACAAAGGCATCTCTCCCATCCCAATCAACTTGAGGGTGTATTCTCCTCATGGTATGTGGAAACCATTGGGACTGAGGTTGAAATGTTATTAGACTCCCAACATAACATTGTGGCATTTGAAGGAAGGTGCCTCAGGATTTTGAAGAGAGTGAAGAGCATATGTATGTGCTACCAATATACTACATAGGGAGAGTGAGATAGAAAACAAGAAGCTACCATCAGTTTCTGTTCCTGAGAATCATGAGAAGTACCTCCTAGCATCTTCATAGAATTTTAATTTTATTTTGTAGTAAGTAGACTTACTGGAGGCAGAACAGTTCATGATTAATTGGTTGAGAGATGGAAGTAAGACCTCTGATGTTTTATTATTGTGCCCACTATATAAAAATACATAGAAGTGAGGAGTTGAGTGGTCTTGGAAAGACAGCCAGGTTGAAGTTGCCAAGATATGACTAATCATGTAATCTGGGACTCTGTGCACTGACAGAAACATGTTAATAATATGTTGTCATTTCAGTTCTATAGTAAAATTGACAACTTAAAAAAATAACAATTCTAAATAAGGTATCTTCCCAAGTTTTCATGTGAAAATTTTTACTCTTCTACTTAAGTGCAACATATTTGAGACATTCTCTGCAAAACCAATACTCTACATGGAATTGCCCTTTATGTTGATAGTTGTAATGCAGTGAATACATTTCTCATCTTAAAAAATTTAGATTGGACATTGCTGAGCTGTCACAATATGTTGAGAAATTCTTACAGAGTTTATTCTTACTGCCTTATCTTCATATCAAAGAAGAACCCAAGTTGAGGATGCTTTGAAAGTATATGCCATCCAATCTGGTGTTATTTGCTTAGGTAGAACATGATATATCATTCATGTCAAGAATGTTGGAAAAAGTTGTTCACTGTCTTATGATTATGCACCATTCAGGTTGAGATTTTCATAAGTTTTCAATGCTACATGATCTCTTTCCTTCCCTTCACTTCTTCAGTCCTGAATCTGACCCTGATTGACCTGCCTGGGATGACCAAGATCCCTGTAGGAGATCAGCCAGCAGATATAGAGCAACAAATAAGGGACATGATTTTGACCTATGTTACCAGAGAAAGTTGTCTCATTTTGGCTGTGACTCCTGCCAACACAGACTTGGCCACTTCTGATGCCCTCAACTTGGCCAAAAATGTGGATCCTGAGGGTATGCTCCATGGATGCAACTAAGTTTTGTGAAATGCTCTCAGAGCAGCTACTTGGTTTGCAGTTGCAGGCCTGGTGCTCTGCTTTGGGTCATATTTTTTGTTTTATTTTTTTCCTAGCATGTATGTGGTTCCCACTGTTAGTTTGTCTTGATTGCTACAGAAGTTTAACAGCATCTCATGGCTGCACCTTCCTTGGAAATGCCTGCTTTCCTTGGAAAGTGTCTTTTTTTTTGTGACCATTGTCTGGCCCATTCTCATTTTTATTCTTTGTTTTCTGCCCCCTTTTTTTCAGTTTTGAACTTGACATTGATAGACTTGCCTGGATTGACAAAAGTTCCTGTTGGTGACCAGCCACCCGACATCGAAAATCAGATCAGAGAAATGATCTTTCAGTTTATTAGCAGGGAGAGTTGCCTAATTTTGGCTGTTACACCTGCAAACGCAGACATTGCTACCAGTGATGCCTTGAAGTTTGCTAAGGAAGTTGATGTTCAAGGTAGCTACAAGAAGAATATGCATTATTTTATATTTTATTATGCATGTTGTAGATGTGGTATTAAAAAGCTTGGCTTGTTCCCCAATATGTTGGGCTATACATTTATGGTGCTTAAGGTGGTGGAGCTTATACATGAACTTTGGCAGATTTGGGGGCTATCCTTGAGTTTCAGGAATCTCTATTTGAATCTCAATTTTAAAAACCTTAAATTAATTATAAATAATTATTATGCCAAACTCTGCTTCAGTGGCATAAAACATTTTATTCCTCTTCTTTAGTAAAGAAAAAAAAGACTTTGATAAAATACACTTTTTATTTATTAGGATTGAAAAAAATGGCAAAGCCAGATATATATTGCATGGTTTTAATTCATGTACAGTGTTTTTCACTTGAGTTAGACATTTTTTCACTTGACTTCGACAACTGTGCACGGTGAGGGTGATATAGTGAATCAATGCAGAAACTTAGAATTCCATTCTTAAGTGCAGATGTCGTGATGACAATGGTGACAACGAAGATGATTAATTTCCTGCTGAAAAGAGGAAAATCTATATGAACCTTCCCAAATACACAATATGTTGAAATGACCATTTAATGTCGTAGTGAAAAAGTAGGCTTTCGTGTCACCCATTACTGTTTTCCTTAATAATATTTCAATGAAACAGGTGACATTTTGGGCATCATTCCTAGGTTCTGAAGTATCATTCTCCACACCGAACTCACATAGGATAGATTAGGCCTATCTAACGTTGGACCTGGGATTGCCCGTCGAAGTCCGATCTGGTGTTTCTACATCGTTGAGCCGACGGGAAATCGAAAACTTAGATCCTTTTTTTTTTATTTAAATAGACCACAAGGAAGGTCTCCCGTCGACAACATGGCTATGCTCGCAGTTCGTCGTTTCCATTTCATAGTTTGATTCATATGAAAAAGCCTAAATTTTTGAAGGAGAGAAAGATGTTGCTAGTCACCAGGGGCACCAATGCCCTCGCCTCCTTTCTGAATACCCCATGCATTGGTGGCTTAGTCACATGAATAATTATCTAACTGAAATGAAAAACACTAGTATTCTACTTGTAATATACAGACTTTGGGGGGGAAAAATAGTTGGCAAAACTTCTGAATCCAGCAGAAATGTGTTTTTGTAATTTTAAGTGACAACACTTCTTGATAATGATAAGCATATCCCTATAGATTGATGTCAGGTGTGCATTAATCTTGTGTTAATTAATTGCTGACTATTGAAGCACAGTCACTCCATCACTCTTTAATCATGTGCCATTTGATCACATGTCAAAACATTAGCCTGAAGTAGCTTAATCCTTTACATACAGACTCAATTCGTATCACATCATGCAAAGAACCCTGACTTCCATTCTGCCTAGAATTATATTTCTAATTGTTTTTCAGAATTTCTTTCAACTTTATCTCAAGACAAGGCTACCAAGTGTTGATTCAAAGAGAAATCAGAAGTTGAAATAGGATGGTGAACCTCAGTCGCTTAGGAGTGACTATCTTCTATTAAAAGGATCTCTAGAATTATATTGCAATTTCTCAGTGTTGATACATATTGATTCTTCCATCATTGCTTGGTAAAGAACTTAATGAAAGCTTGATTAGAATTAAAGCTCTTTAAAATTCATTCTCATGGTTAATATGCTAAGAATTTTAATGGGAGATCTTCAGTATGGCCTGGATAATATGCAACAACAGTGTAAATTCCTTTTTCCACTCAACCACCATGGACTGTACATTTACAATATTCAACTGTCTTTGAATAGCTTCTCATGGCCTTTTCTTTGATTGGAATTTTACAAGTCATTGAGAAAATATCAGCCTATGCTCAGTGCAAATTTCATGAAGTTATGGTAAGAACAGAAATTTATTGGTTAAAAGTAGGAATACTTCTTATAAATCACTCCTTGTACCTCTCTAAATTCTCAACCTTGTCCTGAAGAGTGAAGTGTGGACATGTGATTCTATTATGATTACAATGCAAATGATGGAATGGGATATGATTTAAAGACCATGTTCACTATGTTGTAGTTGCCAGTGAATGACTCGTATAAAGCCCTATGAATTATTGCATTGGCAGTGTGAAATCTGGATTAAAGCACTTAATGTACCTTCTTTACTATCTAAATCTCTAAAATTTTCACTATCCCAATTATCCATGAGAAATTACATTTTTGCTTTGCTGAAATACTTTTCTATTGCTATGAACTTATACTCCTCTTCAAGCTCTGATTTAGCTCAAAGCATTGAGTCCTTTCTTTTACACATGCACTCATTACTTTGTATTGAGGAAAATCTAGGTCTGAAACCTATCATTAGCTCCAGCTTTGTATGATTCATTTTGTAGATACTGTCAACTCTGGGTAACTCCAGCCACAACTTGAATTTCCTTTGAACTTCGAGCTATCAAGAGTTGACTGTAGTAGTATACAGAAAACTTTATCCTTGAAGTGTGAACATTTCTCAAATTCAGCATTGTTGCTTTCTTTGAAGGTTTCCTGCTTGCATAGTTTTCTTCCCTTGCTCTTTCTTGCATGTACTGCTTTGCTTGCCTCACCTGGCTGCAAGATTTGCATGAATGAATCACCCAATCTTACTGTATTCATTCATGTATTGTATAGGTTAACATTAAGTTGCTGTGTTGAACTGCCATAGTCATTACCAATCTGTCAAATTCAGCAATTTATTTTAAAACTAAATACTGTTTGCTGTGGGTTGTTGAAAGTTACAACTTTGCCTATGCCTTATTCCCAGTTACATTAAAAAAAAATAAAGGTTAAAGTCAAAATTTCATGATGTATTTCATGACTCAATCCTAACTTGAAACTATGATTCAATTTCAGTTTTCAGCAATGCAAAGAAATGTCGTTTTGAATTTCACTCATCAAACAGGAAAATTATATCAACACAATGCACCTATTCAAGAATGAATGCATTGTACAGTATAACATATGTACAGGGTATATGAAAAGTCAATAACTATTTTACTTTTTAAATAAATCATGGACTATAGAAGATATCAGGATCCTTTATGTAAGAACTCAAAGATAACTCTTTACATTTCATTGAAAAAGAGAATGAAATAATCTTCTATAGTTCATGACTTATTTAAAAGGTAAAATGACTTTTCATACAAAAAGGTCAGTGGCTTTTCATACACCCTGTATAATGAATGTAATATATAGTCCTAGCATAAATGAAACCCATTCTAATAAGTAACAATAGGGTGTTATATTTGATTATCTATTGCTCATATTTTGCAATCTAGTTGGGAATTCTCCAGCATACACTTTTCCAAAAGCTACCAAATGGTTTTAGAGCTTGATTGTTGGAATACTCAGAGTAACCAGAGGTGTGTGTCAGGTTTCATTTCTCAAGAAAATACATAAAGACCATGCTTCATTAGGCATCTTGTTATTGAGTTAAACATTGCATTACCAGTCATATGAGTCCCAACCCATCAGGGCTTTTTTTGTGATAGCTGAATGGATTCTGCATGAAAATGTTTGTTCTAGTGTTGTTTAGGGAGTTTTTTTTGTTGGAATGCATTGATACATGTTATTTTACTATCAGGAGTCAGAACCATCGGTGTGATTACGAAGCTAGACTTGATGGATGAAGGTACTGATGCCCGTGAAATCCTTGAAAACAAGACCTTACCATTACGAAGAGGTTATGTGGGTGTGGTAAACAGAAGTCAGAAAGACATTGATGGCAGGAAGGATATCAAGGCTGCCTTGCAGGCTGAAAGGACTTTCTTCCTCAGGTAAGAGGAGAAAGTGACTTCTTTTTACTGGTGTTTCAACTAGAATAACAGTAATGCTTTGATGTTATCTTTGGAATAGAATCAGGTGCATGGGATATAACCAGGCATGTAAATTGTTAAGTGATGATATATCACTGTGATGTGGCAAATTCCAATTGCATTTTGAATGTGTTTCAAGTCAAGGCCCAGGTGGTCATATGCAGAGGAGGACAAACGAGGTGCAGTGAATGCACTGTGTGATAACAGAATTAGACAAGGCTGAATGAGAAAGATGCTTGTAACCCAATCTCTAAAAGCTACATAATTTTTTTTCATATGGACTCAAAAATCAGATGTACTGCATATTAGGCTGTGTAGTTTTCTGTTCCCAATTGGTGGATCAACTGCAAAAAATTTTTAAATCATAGTTTGTCAATTTTGGTCTGATGGTTAACTATACATGTTCCTCTTTGTTTCAGCCATCCTGCATACCGACACATGGCAGACCGCCTTGGAACTCCCTACCTCCAGAAGGTGCTGAATCAGCAACTAACCAATCATATCAAAGACACCTTACCTTCTCTGAGAGATAAGCTGCAGGTTAGCACATTCACATGACTTTCATTTTAGAGCTAATATGGTGAAGCTTAATGCAAAATTTAGACCCTTCTTGGTATACCTATGGCTTTTATGATTCCCTCCCCTCCCCCAGAAACAAATGCTGTCATTGGAGAAAGAGGTGGAGCAGTACAAGTACTTTCGGCCTGATGATCCAGCGCTGAAGACCAAAGCCATGCTTCAGTGAGCTCCTGAAAATATCTTACATGATGATCTTATCAAATGCTTCATAAAAAAATCCCTGCTCTTCTGCCTGGCTAGGATGATCCAGCAGATGCAGGTGGACTTTGATCGAGTCATTGAGGGCTCTGGTTCTGCCCAGATCAATACTTTTGAACTGAGTGGAGGTGCCAAAATAAACCGGTTGTTTCATGAGAGATTCCCCTTCGAAATAGTCAAGATGGAATTCGATGAGAAGGAACTTCGGCGAGAAATTGCCTTTGCCATCAGGAATATCCATGGTTTGTGATTATAGAGCAGCCAAACCTTTTTATCTCAGAAATTTTCTCAAGTCTGATGGATTCAATTTTTTTTAATAACCTGACTGAATTCTTTTTGCCAGTACTTTGCAAGCCTGTGCAACAATGTTGCTTTTTCAAGTGAACAGCCAAGAAAGCTTTAAAAAATCTGCTTTTTATTTTATTAATCTAGTATTTTTTATGGTCATTTCAACTCTTATTAGTCTGTACTTCAGGAGTCTGACAATTTTGTCTGGATCAAAGGCTTACCTGGATTATCAAAAATTGACCAATGTGATCACTCATTTTTTTCCTAGCAAAGAAAACTACACTCCCAGTGTATTGCAAAATGCTTTCATATATTCCGTAGGTTTTTTTTGCTCAAAGCTTATGGGAACCTCTGACGGCTCTATTAACCTATCACATTGAAGAAATCCTGAATATTTTTTATTTGATTTTAGCACATTCACTTTTATTCGTATCTCCTGCATCAGATCACACTGAGAATGCTTACTCATGGCAGAATGAGGTAAGAAACTTCTTACAGCTTTTATAACTGTGATTGATGAGACAGACTTGGGAAGAGGGATATGACTTGAGAATGAGAGAAAGTCTCAATGACTAGCAGAGCAATTCCCATTTCCCCCCATTATCTGACTCCAGGAAAGGGGGAGATAGAAATAAATTTTTTTTCTGCCTCTATATCTTGGAAGGGGGGAAATGGAGATCCAAGAAGGGGCATATAACTTTTTCAGTTTTTTTTTTCAGTTGTATTCTGCCTTTTGTACTAACAAGTCCAGGTTAATGGGGAGTATGACCCATGGGACTAGAGAGCTTGTCTATAACCAGAGCTATGGAGTAACAGCATCCAGATTAGATGGAGAATTTTAATGAAGGTTCTGTGGGATTTTTGCTGGAATCATTTTTCCTGTCTGAATAAATAGGAACACAGGATTACTGGTGTTCAAATAATGGAGAGTTGACTCTCAATAGTGTGAAACTTCATTCCTCAACCCTGTGCACTCATCCAACTCACTGCAGAGTGTTTACTGGTGGGCCGCCCCCACTCTGCTAGGTTTTTTCACTTGCTTTAACCCAGGGGTGTCAAACTCAAATCAGTTGGCAGGCTGCATTCCTTACCCTGCAGATTGCCTGTGGGCCACAGCTGTACTTATTTCACCTAAATTTATGCCGACAGTCAATCCAAGCAGAAATTTCAAGAACAGCCAGTATGCCTGATGAACCACCTCCATGGGCCAGATCCGGCCTGCAGGCAATATGTTTGACATCCCTGCTTTAACCCATTCACTGCTGCTCAAAAGTAAGGTATTTAGGTCATGTGCTACCAGAAATCTGAAGAAAAGAAAGCAAGTATATGTTGTATGATGTGTTTGTCTTTACTTAGTGCAAGTTACAGTATATAAGTATTATTTCCTGTACTGCTTTACCTGAGTGACAATTTGGTGTGCCAGATCTCAAAACATGGTGTCACAGACCTGGCAAGGAGGGACACCTAAGGAAGGAGTATCTGGAGTCTCTTTGCAAATAATTTAGCAAATAATATTGGCTCATCGTCATCACCGCTTTCACTGCTATCATCAGATGCAATGATGTCACTGTCTTCATCATCAATAATTTCATCTTCAGAATCACTGTCAACCAATTCAGTTTCCACATGTTTTTCTCTTGAGTGCATACCTTGTCAACTGGTAGACACCATCTTTGGAACTAATGTCCATGGAATGTTGTCTTATAAAATGGTTATGTGAGGGTACCTTGTGTATCCCTTACTTCAAGTTGTTACAAAAAATCCATGAGATGACAGAAGGTCCCTGTCAATCAAGACAATCAAGCCAGATGCTGTTGCTGAGAGACATTCAGCAATCCATGACAAGTTAATCATTGAGCTAGCATATAGTGGGAGTTAGGGCATGATGTGTTAACATGACATGTAAGCAGTGAATGGGTTAAAAAAGAGGTCTGTCAGTTTTTTTTTCTGGGTTCATTGCAGTTCCATTAGGAGGTTGTCACTGAGTTTTGGCAGGAGACATCAGTCTCCAGCAGGATGAAGATAACCCTTTTCTGCCTAGGTCTGATGCATGTCTTCATTGTAATGAAGCCACCAATGAGCAAAAATGAAGTCATGTCTGGTCCACTCAAAGCATCCATGGAGAGTATCAGATGGCAGTTCTGGTGTGTGTTTCTCCTTTAGCAGCTGCTGCTACATGAGTAATGCACTCCACAACTGCCAGCCACTCAGGGCCGATTGCATGAACGATGTTTATTTTAGACATTGATTATCGATAGTCATTGTTTAAACATTGTCTACGAAAACAATGGTTAACCGCTGTCTACTTTCGATTGCGTGAACGATCCTTAAGTCATGTTTTCATAGCCGATGGTTAGACGATGGCTAAACAAGAGGGGAGGGGGGGGGGGGGGCTAGCCCTAATTTAACCTCCCATTTTCTAGCCTGAAATCTTCAGGGAACGGGCTTCAAGGAAGCCAAGGATTCCAAAAACGAATAATTAATAAGATGCAAGAGAAAAGTACTGCTAATCTGATTTCTTTCGCTTTTTCTGGAAAATTTTCCTTCGGATGACTGTTTACTGCTTCTGCATTCATTAGACAGCCAATAATAAAATAATATAAATATTTATTTAATAAATATTTAAAAAAAAAATGAAATAACATATAATGATGGACTCACCGGCAGCCTCGTCCCGTTTCCTCGCCTTGACGGTGACGACCTCCCCCGGCTGCCCCGCCGGGTTCCCCGCCAGCCGCCGGATCCCCCTGGCGTCTGCGACCCCGTTCACGGCGACCACTGCGTCCCCGGACGCAAGGGCCCCCGTCCGGTACGCCGGGGACCCTTTCCGGACGCTCTCGATCTCCAGTCCCGCGCCTTCTGGCTCCGTCTCCGCTGCGATTTCAAATGGGATAAATTGTATAAATTAAATATATAAAAATATATATAGTGTATAAATTATTATGGATATAATAAAACTGTATAAATGAATATAAATATAATAGAAAGAATATTAATATAATTATTAAATTCAAATTATGCGAGAAATATTCTGACCGTGTCGGAAGCTGATGCCCAGGTCGACCCCGGGCGGCGGCTTCGGAATCCGGACGCTGAAGGTGCCGGAATCGGGGACGACGGAATCGGGGACCCCGAACTCCACCTCCAACTTCAACCGGGGTCGCGCCGCGCTCGCGAATTTCTGCAGCTCGTCGAGCGTGAATTCGTCGTAGGACCGGCCGTTTACCGAGAGGATCCGGTCTCCGGCTTGGAGCAGACCGCACCTTCCAAAATAAATTAATATATTTAATTTATATGGGCGTATGTATGGGTTACCGTATATAAATAAATATATATATATACAGAACTCTAACATATTATAAATCTGGCGTGTTGACGCGAAAGGACGTGCTAGAAAATTTATCTTTCCCCTTTTTTTTTACGTTCATTACCTTGCCAAAAGCGAAGGCCCTCATATGAAAAGACGGTGCACGACCATTGGCTCACCCGTCGACATGGACCAATTGGCATTCCACACGGTAGCCAAGTCCAGAAATTCCAAATATGAAAAAAAAAGACTTTGGTCATAATGAGACGTTGGAATGTTTTAAGCTTTCGACAAAGTATCTACTGGTATCTAAACATAGTACAAAAGTACAAAGTAGTACAAAAAGTACTAGTACAAAAAGTACTAGTACAAAAAGTACTAGTACAAAAAGTACTAGTACAAAAAGTACTAGTACAAAAATATAAATTGGTGGCAGTGGTGGCCGATTGGTTAAGGCGTCTGACTAGAAATCAGATTCCCTCTGGGAGCGTAGGTTCGAGTCCTTTCCGACTGCGTCATGATTTTTAAGGGCGGATTGCATGAACGATGTTTATTTTAGACCTTGACTATCGATAGTAATTGTTTAAACATTGTCTACGAAAACATCGGTTAACCGCTGTCTACTTTCGATTGCGTGAACGATCCCTAAGCCATGTTTTCATAGCCGATGGTTAGACGATGGTTAAACATCCCTCATGGTACATTTAGCACGTTCTGACTCCTCGGTTGCCGGGTAATACACTACGGACTAAACAAAAAACGAGCGAATCAAGTGAAAAAGGAGAGCCTTTCCTCAGATCATTAATATTAAGTACATGTCGCAGACCTTTTAAAGGAGAATCTCACGATAGAGAGAGACAGAATACGCTTTCCTTGCACAACAAATAATCATGCCTGGAAACTGGTGAGTTCTCCTCTTACCTTACTCTGTATTTCGATATATCAGAGGTAAAGCCAACGACTCGTTTTGGACACACGGAGGAGTAGGAAATGTGAAAAATAGGAGTATCAATTGTGTACGATTGCAAAATGAGGATATTCGAGAATTGCGTATGGATCCTGGTCACGTGATGACAAATTCAGTAATAATCCCTTCCGTATCACGCACTGCTTGAACATCGATGAAATAGAAGCATTTGCGATTGATTAAAGTTGTCTGGGCATTCTAGTCGAGTACGACAGTCGTCGATGACACCGGTCACTCCTGGAAATCCGACAATATCAAATAATTATCTTCGTACAACTACTCCGTTTTTCCTCCTAGGAATGTAATGAGCGATATAAATGGGCAATGGCTTGCGCCATTCCATTTCTAGGAATCGACGTCACATAATAAATCGAAGGATCAGCACAATATGCAAATCGAAAGGCGTTCATGATACTCTCTTTACTTTCTAGTCATATTAATTAATTACTCAGGGGATGGGTACTTGAACAAATCACGATTCATTGCACACGAACAGTGATTTCTTATCTGTCGATGTAAAGTCAAGGGATCCCTTCCACGATCCCTTCCATTCGAGTTGAGCGCGAAGCAGGTCGACATCACACCCTGATCCCTTTCCAAATTTGTATCTCACGCGGAAGTTCTAATCGACATATTCTTCAAAGGGATTAAGCCCAGAACCTATGTTTATCATGTTATCGAGCGGATCCATAAACAGAATCCATTGTGCTTCACCAGTACACTGCAGCGCTATACTCATCGAGATGGTACACGAACGCTGGCATAAATATCGCCAAAACATGCCCCATCCCTTGTCTGGAAACGACACCTTTTTCAGCTTCTGTTAGACGTCGGTTAGACAATGGTAATAGGAAGATAGCGTTCATGCAATCCATTTTTGGCCTTAGACATCGGTTAGCCCATGACTTTCGAAAAACACCGGGAAAACATCGTTCATGCAATCGGCCCTCAGTAATTGAATGCACCCAGTGAAATGGGTTGAGCTGCTCATTAACTAAAAGTTTCAAATTTGTATTTATATTTAATGACTCAGGTTTTCCTTTCTTGTTGGATGCTGAATTACTGGATGATGGATGTATGGTCAACATCTACCCCATATTTAGGAGAATGTCTTATTACCAAGGATTCTTGCTGCCAGTACTTCATTACCATCATTGTTTTTGCTTTTCAGAAATTGCAAGTTGATTTTTTTTTTCTAAATCTGAAGATCTCTTTCAAAAACATACAAAAGTTATCTTTGATTTGGCATGCTGATGATGTCTTAGATTGCTTGGAGGGTGTTTCATTGTTTTTTTTTCGCCTGCTCTTGTACATTCTTGTACCAGTGGCATAATTATGTCTGTTAAGTCTGTGTTGGATATCATGAAGTCTTCTCTGGGAGTAGGAGGGAGAGCTTCAGTTATAGCATTACACCAAGTCTATGCAATACTGTAGTTATGACATTGTACTGTTACCCAAGTTAAATATGCAACATGAATAGGAGCTCCTTATAGCTCTTGGCTGTTGATAAACTGCTACATCACTGCATGACACCTAGCTTGGAACTATGCTGCTCTATCCTGGAAGTGAAGGGGGCTTACCCCAAGTTCAAATCCACTCATCCAAATAACTGAGATTTTTAATCATTTAGTTTATTTTTTTGGAATGGTTGCCAGCAAAAAAAAAAAGAATCTCAAGTTGTATAAGTGCTCTTACCCTTGCATTCTTGGCATGTGCCTTATCACTGACTTAGCAGGCTTAGGCCTGTCATCATTTACCATGGCCTTGTCTATTTCTTAAATTGTAATGAAGATTGTAAATATAAGCAGGTAAAGAGTAAGTCTTTACATGGTTTACTTGATTTACAGTGAAAAATACTAACAGCCAAACTGAAGCTCTCTATTTCAGATTTCACTTCAGATGAACCACTTAGAGAAGTTTTCCAAGTCATCAGGAATGCTCAAAAAGAAATGAAAGGGTGAAAGGAGGGAAAGAATAACTCTTTGCAAATAAATATAAAAATCTACCATCCCATACAAAGTTTACATGCACCATTGGCATGATACTTGAATGTAGTAATGTGAAGTTTCCAGTACACAAGGCATGAGAAAATACAGGATGAAAGTTTGTTTTTGTTTCTTGCTTTTCACAGGCATCAGAGTTGGTCTTTTCACACCTGATATGGCTTTTGAGGCCATTGTGAAGAAGCAGATTGATCGTTTGAAGGAGCCTAGTCTGAAATGTGTTGATCTAGTGGTACAAGAACTATCTAATGTCGTCAGGCTTTGCTCCGACAAGGTCAGTTTCTCCACTTTCCCTGATGAACTAGGTTATCCGCATGACGAAACCTGATGTCTTCCTTCATGGATGCCTGTAATTTGAGCAATTCATGAGTTCCTGTGCTTGATATACTTTTTTGTCCACATGGGTTGATTTGCTCTCCTGAATTGTGCATAGGAAAAAATTGAGGTATTATTAGAACAACACTTATATTTCAGTTTGTCAGAAACCCTGCTATTTTATTTATTTTAGTATGGTCATTTGCAGGAATAGGTTCAGATCTTGAAATGGAAGTTCTCAACTAATGTCATGCTGGAAAATAATCCAGGTGGATAGAACAGCTCTTGGCATTAAACTAAAATGCAGTAGTAATCTTGTGCTTGGTTCATGCTGTCACAAGCAACATCATCCACTTTCAGATGAACCGGTATCCCCGTCTGAGGGAGGAGACTGAGCGGATAATCATGAAAAATATTCGTGATAAAGAAGTGGTGTGCAAGAAACAGATTCTTCTCCTCAATGACTCTGAATTGGCATACATGAACACCAACCATGAAGATTTTATTGGCTTTGCTAAGTAAGTTTTTTGCCCATTATTATCAGAAATAATTCTCTCAAAACTGATATCTTGGGAATGGTTGACTCTCCTGTGTCAGTGCTCAACAGTCTGCAGAGAACTCAAACAAGACTGGCAAGCGACTGGGAAACCAGGTGATCAGGAGAGGTTGGATTTGCATCCACAACCTTGGCATCATGAAGGGTGGCTCCAGGGACTATTGGTTTGTCCTCACAGCTGAAAGCCTTTCATGGTTCAAGGATGAAGAGGTAGTTCCTGTCTTTTATGCTCGTACTCATTTTGGGATCATGTGGATTCTTTCAGGAATAGCTCATGATGTGTTTCCATTGTGTGCATCTCAGGAGAAGGATAAGAAGTATATGCTACCATTGGAGAGCTTGAGAATTCGTGACATCGAGCAAGGCTTCATGTCCCGTCGGCATATGTTTTGCCTCTTTAATCCTGACTCCAAGAATGTCTACAAGGACTACAAGGTTTTAGAACTCAGCTGTGAAACCCAGGATGAAGTAGACTCCTGGAAGGCATCTTTCCTTCGGGCTGGTGTTTATCCAGAGAAGTCCAACGTTTCCAATGGAGAGGATGTGAGTGTCTGTGCATATCAATTTCTGGTGCCTCACTTTAAGATGTTGGTTTTTCTTTTCCTGTGATTAATTGCCACAGCCAGAGGCATTTTTTGTTAACACATTAACTGCCATTCAGGACACCAGTGAGTCAAACGCTCATGTATTTGCTGGATCATAAATAGGTATTGGTAGTTAATGCGTTAAAGATACAATTTTCTGTTGTGAAATACAAATAGTATTCTTGGAGATGTCAATATTATGTGTTGCATGAAGCAAGTCATGTTGCATGAGCTTTAAGCACACAGCTTTTGTAGTGGTAGTTCACATTTAGCTTCATCTGTATCTTGCATGACAGAGAAAAGGCTTCTTCAAATTCATGCTTTCCTGTAGGCAGTGATGGCATTAGGAATGTATTGCATCTGTTTATCATGAAGGATTTCTTTTGGATATACTATCATGGTTCTTAGTTTTGATCATATATGTAATTTCTTTGCATGATCCATAATTTTTCTTTTACTTCTTCCCTAATGTATGTAGCATGGCATTCATGAAGGGAGGTTATAAGCTGTGGTTAGAGAAATCTGGATTATAAACAAGTGGATTTTTCCCTAAAATATAAAAGAGGGGAGAGTAACATATTTATAGTTGTAGCAGTTTTTGAGAGATATTAACCCTTATCCAGGCAAGGGGAGTCCATTGGACTCGCTTACATTTCATGCCTTATTTCAATTCATATTTATGAGAGAAACATGTTTATTTTCATATGTGTTGTTTAGTTGATGTGAGACAAAATGTCACAATGTCTGAATTTTTAGGTCATATTTTGCACATGCAAAAATTCTTTTTAAATTTTCCTAGCATAAATGGGCAAGGGGAGTCCACCGGACTCTACATTTTAACTATTTCAGACCTGGTGTCCATTCCAATGGACATTGCATTTTCATTGCATCTTTGGTAATTTCTTGGGATTATCATGACTTTGCATCCCATATTGCACTACAATGGGCACAATTATGCGTAGATCAATTCCATCAGAGGCCTTCTTTCACCCACCAGTTTTGTAATCTTCAGTTATGTAATTAAATATATAATATTTTATATATGGTATGAGATGGTAAATCTAGACAAAATATAAAAATGATATGTAAAACATAAAAATTTAAATTACAATAGTGAAAGAGCTCAAAAATGCAAGAAAATATATTAGTCCAATAGTGGCCTTAATTCAGGTCTGAAAGGGTGCTTTTCGCAACAGCTCTCTGCTCTTACTGGCACCCATTCACAACCATTTTGCTGCATCATCTAGTCACACAAAGTTACACTGGGAAGAATGATCAGTTTTGGGCTACTATGGAAAATCCTCTGTAGTCCCTCTGTATTGGCTAATATCTCTACTCTGTGGTGAAGCCTGCATGTGCCACTAGATGTATGCATGCAAAATTATTGTGTATTGTATTTGATTGTCACTTTGTTCTTCAGTAGTTTTTCACCACTGCTGACAACAAACTCTGAGTATTCCCTTCAGGAATCCTGTTGGTAAAACACACTCTTGTCAAAATTGCTCTGAAAATGAGTCTATGATTTGTAACTTGTTTTTTTTATTTAAATATTATTACTTAAAAGAATCTTACCTCTTTATCTGTTCCCTTTGAGATTGCAGTGAGATCTTGGATGTCACAGGAAATGATTAAAAAAGATCCTAGACAATGAAAAGTTGGATGAAAATCTCAGAAAATGAAATCAACACGTTGCATGTTTAGACAAAATACAATTTCTTATTGTCTCAGTAATCAACTTTTTTATGGAGTAATTTCTTAATTCTTGACTTGTGAATACCCTGAGAATTGTTCTTATGTTAATGTGAGATCATTGGAAATGGGACAGTCAAATGAATACAGGTTGGTAATTAAAAACTGAAGGAAGAGTCCATTGGACTCCCCTTGCCCACTTATGTTACATGATACCTATCCCAGATAAGGGTTAAGCAACCTGCTTGGTTATTGGTAAAGGTGGCCTTGGATACTAAGTGTTCTGTGAGGATGATATGGGAGTTCGTATAAAGAGCTTCTTACCCATCAGATTTGGTGTAGTCCTCCCCTGCCCTTCCCCCTCTCTCACCAATCAAGGAGGGAAAGCACCTTTTTTGCATGCCAATCACTGTCCTTTCACATCAAAGTGTAGAATAAATTCACATAGCACTTGTAAAAATTGGTGCTGGAAATTCTGGCATCTCCATGAAGAAGAAATGTGGGAGACAGAGGGATATCTAATAGTAGAATTCATGCCTCTCTAAACTTAACATGTGTTGATAGGTGTTGAGCTGCTTTTTCATCTGTATTTTCATGTCTAGATTATTTTCTCCATGAGGATTCTTGTTTGTTTTTTTTTGGAAAGCAATAGTTCATTTAGAATACTGCATCTGTAGAAATAGGCTGCTGAAGTTCTGCTACTGGATATAAATATTTCTGTTCTTGGAGGCAAGCAATTAAACCTATGGTGATTTGAGGTTATGGTCTTATCTGAGGATCCTCATATTGACTTTTCTGTTATTCCTACTGCTACTCAGTGAGTGTCTGGTCTATGATATTTCTGGATTTCTCTGCTAGTTCTGGGATTGAGGGTCAATTAGAAAGATATAAGTTCTGCTTTCATTGGAAAGCAAGAATCCCATCCCAGCCATGAAAGAAGTTCCTTTGGAATACCATTCCTCAATGTTGATGGCTGAGAAAAACAGGTGCAAGTGGGAAATACAGTGATGCTCAACCAAATCAAAATTACTCCCATGTTCCCATATTGCTGATTCTTGCCATTTTTAATATGTCTTATGGGTTGTTACAGTTAGGGAATCATATGGAAGTTGAGCTTCTCTCATCAAGATGTGCCATCCTACAGTTTGTGTAGTTAAGAAATATCAGCAGTTCACTCAGTTTCTAAGGAGCACATCATTTCTTCTAACAGTGAAACTACAAAGCATGTTTTAACTGGGAAACTGAATTATCATGGGATGTACTGAGCAGCACAAATGGCTTTTTCTGAACTACTGAGAGCAATAAGGAAATTTCAGATATATACAGGGTGTCCATAAAGTCACTTCCTTATTTCAAAAGCCAGGTCAAAAGGTTTCTAGGGCGCTCCGTAATGGAGATAGGACCTTTTGAAATAGGGAAGTAACTTCATGGACACCCTGTATATTTGCATTGAATTTAATATTGTGTGAAAGATACAGGAATTGTTGAATCCATGTTCTCTGTAGCCTGTTTCTTAAGCAGCTGCAGGTAAGACAAGCTCAATGGAGTGTCCTTATTTCTCTCAACACAGAAATGCCTAGTAGTACAAAGAAGCCTGCAATTTCCATTGCTGCAATTGAAACTTCTTTTGATGCTCACTGTGGTGCTGGCCCTGGGTCTCTGTTCAGTAGCTTGGCATGGTGTCCTCCTGTCATGTCTCTGTTTTCTTGTATCTTTTGTGCCTACCACTCACTCCCAGACTGGAATGCAGGAAGGACATTCTTCTATGGATCCAAACCTCGAACGGCAAGTGGAAACCATTCGTAACTTGGTGGACAGTTACATGAAAATTGTCTCAAAGACAACACGTGATCTCGTCCCAAAAACCATCATGCATCTCATCATCAATGACACCAAAACCTTCATCAGTGGTGAACTTCTTGCAGGGCTTTATCAATGTGACCAGGTTAGTGTCCCACTAGCAAATCAGATACCATTAGAACAGGTTCCACCTAACATTTTGTCCCTCTCCTTCAGACCCAAATGATGGAAGAAAGTCCAGAGGAAGTCAGGAAGCGAGATGAGATGTTGCGCATGTACCATGCTTGCAAGGAGGCCCTGAATATCATAGGAGACGTTTCACTTACCACCGTATCAACTCCTGTCCCTCCTCCAGTCAAGGAAGAATGGATCAAACCTGAGGAGAGGTTAGTGATCCCAATGGGAAACATTTTTATTGTTGTCAATATGCTAGTAGTGAATGAAATGAGACAGTATTGAAATGATTGTTTTCTTTGAACCATCTGCTCTTAGTGATGCAGAAGTTACCAATGCAAAGCCCATTTCTGACATGACTTTTTCTATAATTTTAACTAATACCAAAAAAAGTGGAAGGATTAGAGAGACGAGAGAGACTTGTTCCCTGGTAGCTGTGAGTCCTGACTTAGGTGAAAAGCAAACTGCTCAGTATTTGTTATGTGGGAAAGAGGCAACCCAAATAGTCTTTCCAACTTCACATGCTTAACAGGTTGACTGCCACAAGGCGCACCGGTGCGCCTCACTGAATGGGAAAATCAATAGGCCAACATTTCCGTGGCAGTCAACGTTTTAAATGCGTTTTCACCTTGACCATTGAATTCCATTAGCTGTTCTCCATATATTCCCCATGTGACTTGCTCCTGACCTGACCCATGTAAAATGATGTTCTGTCATAGCTAAATACTCTAGGATAGTGATGAGCAACCTGCAGGCTGCATGTGGCCAGTGAGGTCCTAGTGTGCGGCATGCGGGGCTTTGTCAACTGAATTTTTTTTTTCCTGTCACCTGCCATCCGGAGTAGAGTGTTCAAGGATTTTATTGCCAAGTGCAGGAGAGACAGAAGCAAGAAATTAAACATCAAAGCTATATTTCCACTACAGATACAAATATCCCTTCACTTTCTTCTTGGTCAGTTTATCACTGCTCTCTGAGCAAGTGGCTTGCTTGGTATTTTGCTCAGTAAAAAGGTGAGAAAAATTCTAAATTAGTTATTTGCATAGCATTAGTATTACTATTTTAGTACCTGGTTTACTAAGCCAGGCTTAGGATTATTTTGGTACTCGGCAGGCATTAAACCTATAATTCAGTGGGGGGAAAATAGATGTGGCCCACTGGGAACCTGAAAGGTTCACTTGCAGCCTGCAGTCAAAAAAAGTTATTCATCACTGCTCAAGGACATAGAGTTCTGAAAAGTTTGCTGTCTATGATGAAGTCTCTTTGCTCAGTTCTTACCATCTATATTTCAGTGAACTTTCATTGCTGTTTTTCTCTAATGCAGCGTCCCAAGGCCTTCTCCTCCGTCGCCAGGAGCTGGGTTGAGGCGAGGTCCATCAAATCGCTCTGCACCACCTGTTCCTGCCTCCCAGGTAGGACCTCGCCAGCCACCTGTGCCCAACAGGGCTCCTCCAAGTGTCCCACCCTCCAGGCCTGCTCCTGTTGGTGTGGCATCTAATGTCCCCCTTCAGCCACCTCTCATCCCCACGTGAGTACTACTTCTCCTTTCTGCAGCATGTACTTGCCGTTGATATCTGCAGGTTGTGCAATCCCCTTCCCTTTTCCATGTGCTTCTTGCTTAGTTTTCATACTTCAGCATCTTTTACACCCTAGTTTCTTTGCAAGAAGAATTCTAAAGGAGCAGGAGAGCTTGATCCCTCTTTGTTCAATGGTCTGTCTCTTTTGTGCAAACTTTGTTTATTTGCCCTCCATTTCATGATTTGCATTCAGAGCTTGCCCAGCTGAATCTCATCTGGGAGCAACATCTTTCTAGTTTCTTCTTTTGAACTTGAATCATCTATATGCCGGTCATAATTGTGGCAAACCTGATACATAGCATGGCCCAAAGGGATCCCCTTCTTTTATAGAAGATTGACAGATTTGTTATGAATTATGATTAGTTGTAAACAATTGAAAGAGAGATATTTCTTATTCTTTCCTTAATTGACTACTACTCTATTTCATAATAATGCTGCATCCCACATGAAATGATGGGATGGTTTTCTTGACCATTTTATGTATTTCATGTGTTACAGATCACTGATGTAATCTTGTATCCCCCAATCCCTTCAGTTAAGAAGCATCTCACAGTGGTGTACAGGAAAGAGTATAGTCTGCCAAAGTTTCAAATTAATTTTTTGTGGTCTTGATGAGTGCTATATAGTCTACCTCATGACTTCTTTGCCATACTATCCAATATGTCTGAGAGACACTTCCAAATCTAGTGCTGCATAGCAAGGCTATAGCAATGAGGGTGATGGGCTGAGGTGACATGGGCATTTTCTGACCTTTCTGGGTAGGGTCAAAGGGTGTATCCCTCACTCTAAACCATCCTTGTAAGCTGTTTGCAGGAGACTGTGATCAAGGACTAGGAGAATGCTAGAAATCAGGTGGATGTATTCTTCTTGTAGTGAGGAATTTTTCAAATTGAGGACAGCCATTCTCTGGAGGTGGCCCTGCACAGAACCTCAATTACTTATCAATCTCATATTATAGTAAGTGTCAGTAGGAAATGGAAAGGAAAACTTCATGAGGTAGACTAAAGAGTATCTGCAAGTCATAGGAAATGAAGGTGGGATTTGGACACTTTGCACTCTTTCCCATTGGTTAAGCAAAGCACCCTATTCAAATGAATGAATGCCACTCCCATTATGTCATTCCTTGTCAGATCAACAGACCATGACTTCCTCCAATGTTGATTACATTTGATTCAATGCTTTGCACCATTAAGAAATTGATATACCCAACATTTTTCCTTCCATAGTCAACTGGTGTCAAGTCAGATCTGATATTAAGTGACCTGGTGGCACCCTTGTACCTCAATCAAATTTTAATTTCTCTCTCATTTGAACTAGAAATTTATGCCTTATGCTTTGTTTACACACTTTTCAATTATACAGTGCTGCTTAGGGTTATATAATTTAATAAGATTCAGGGTTCTATCAACTAAGTTTTTAGAGCTTTCCAACCTAGGAGTAGTGTGGGAGAAGGGCGCCGTGTTAGTCACTATTTTATAGCTACACTAACGGCCTCAATTTCACCAAAATCCCAGGGGAGTATTCCTGCTACATGAGCATCTTCTATATTTTTCAATTGTACCAAGCACTTTGTCGAATTTCATTTGAAAATTGTGAAAGAATAGTGGGTCCTGCAAAGTGTGTTTATTTAATGTGGAATGATTATATATGGAATTGAGAGCATTCAAAAACATAACTTTCTTTTATGCCAAGAGGCACACTTTATGCATCACTTCATTTCAACTCAAATGGGAGAGGGTGGAATAAAGTGAGCCTGAGCTGGGGTTGGTTGTGCCTGCCTAGATCACTGTGGATGGAGGTGGGGTTGATGTGCTTTGTGCTCTTACACGTTAATAAGAGAAACTTTCTGAATTATCCATTGGAAATATGGCTACATTGTTATTGAAGCATCCCTATGAAACTTACAAAACTGCTTCTGTTTGCTTTTCATGCAGCCGACGCTAACTTTCGTGAGTATATTTTACTTTGTTCACACTTGGATATGATGCCTTAGATTAATGAATTTGCAGTGTTCTTTTATACTTTTTTGGGTTAGTGACTAACAAACATCTCTATGAAACTTATAGACCTGATGAATTAAATAAATTAAAATGAAACACAGAATCATCATTTATGCCATGGCAGCTATCTTTTTGAAGAACATTTTGGGTTTTATCTACTTCAAGGCCTTTTTGCGATCTACAGATATTTCATCTATCCTCCTGTTCCTGTTCTTGTTTTTGAGCCAAAGCATGGTTTGTGCCAAACATGTGGCTACCATGTTGTACCAAAAATGTTGCTCAGTGATCTTAAAGGAGTTAAAGTCTCCATTCAGCTAAAGGTTCACCATAGTGGGGCAGGGCTGAGTTCCAGCTACGATTGTGATAACCCCTATAATTTAATAAAATAGGGCCTATCATCTCTAAGCTGCATCTATGAAATAAATGTAAGCTTATGTTACTTTTAATTAATAGAACCCCAATTCTGTGCTTCTAGTATAAATATGGGCACTAACCTTCCCTAGAATTTCTTGGAGGTATGCTTGTGCACCAGGTATCAGGATTTTCAACTGGTTTTCAACCTTGTGAAATGTGTCAATCTGCTTAATAGAATTACATTTACCATGAATTTGTCAAAAAGCAGCACAAAAACCTCAGCAGAAAGGGGCTATTTGTGCACTATTTTGCCTAGAGAGAGAATCCAACCAGTAATCAGGTTCAATAATTTTCACATCTAAGAATTGACAGGGGGGGGGGGTGACTGTAAAAATGGAATTCATGCCTAAAACCATCAAATGAAATCTGCCACTTTTCCCTGGAGTCTTTCAGCATGACAATGGCACACATTTTGAAATTATTTTGACACAGTTGTCATTCAGGTACTCCATCCAAATGAATGAGGGTTATGAGGCTTCTGCAAAATAGCTTTACATCAAAACGTAGTTGAAAAAAAACATGAGATTTGTATGAAACTTTAAGTCACTTTTTTGTACTAGAACTCCACATGTGGCATTCTTTACTCCATTATACACATGGGGTCTACAGCTTTGAATAACTATGATGAGTAGGAGTAGATTTTCATGCACTAAAATATGTAAATAAATGTGCTTAAAAATGCCAAATTATGCACTTAAAATAACAAATCTACATAAAATATGAATGAAAGTTTGAAAAATATTCAAAAATATGCTTTTTAACACCAAGAATAAGCTCTTTGGAAACAAGAACTACAATGTACATTTCATACTACCAGGCTTCCCCTTTCCCATGAGAGTGGAGTAAGGGTGAGCTTGAAGATAAAATCAGATGCCTGCTGGAAGATTTTTACAGAAGAAAACTTGTTGTCCTGGAAAACTTTATTTTTGTCTGAAGGAAATGGGTGAAATGTGCCTAAATTTGCATATATATGCATATTCTGAGGAAAACACCAAAATATGCACTTCTATGTGTTTTTAGATGCATCATTCACTTCCTGTACTAATTATACCTGCTCCTTAATGATGAGCAGTTATACCATTATGATAGCTGAGTCCTTCTAAATCCTATTCATTGAAATGATTGGATAGTATGAAATGGCAATTCATACTAGAGTTGTCTGATTTAAGTTCCAATTCTGTATAGTTTCTGTTTTTGAAAAATACAAAGCAGTTCATGGCAGAATGACATATCCCATTCCTAGTCAGAAAGGAAAAGCTCTGAATCACCCAGTCTCCTTAAGGGATGATGAGGTGATTGAGCTTTCTGTAACCACCATTATGAAGGGTGAAGCAGGAGTCCGCACTGTCTGCCGTATTCTGGTTTTCATTTGGCTTTAACCTAGAGAATGTGAGGGGTGATTGGAATGTCTTCCAGATAGGATCCCTGTTATATGGACCAATATAGAATAACTTTCTTTACCCATTTGGTGCTGATGACACACATATGCCAAGATCTAATGGGAAAATGCATCATTGGCAGTGAATAGATAACTTTCACTGCAGTCATCACATTTTTACACCCAAAGGGATATCAGGGTTCTGAATATCTGGATGGTATTTGCTCAAAATATGTCTAATCCATTTCTCAAAATGGCCAATTATGCTTGGTATTGGTCTACAAAATGCTGTATGATGCTTTGTTTTATGGATTCTTTGAACAATGCTGGTTGCGTCTCATTGAAAAATATGCTCATGCTTAATAGGATTTTGCATGTGAATTTCTGAGAATGCTAGATCCATAGACTTAAATAACAATTCATTATGAAGTCAATTCAAGAAACAAAAAGTATCTGATTCACTTTAGCAGTTTGATTCCTGTTCTTGAAATACCCAGAGGAAAGTCATTATGTGACTGAATGCCTTGAAGCATGTTGTTGAACTCATTCTGATAGCTCACCTTCCCTCATGGGTCCATTTTTATCTCCCTGTTCATTTTTTGCTGCCTTCTGGATGATGGATCTACAGAAGACAAGGTGGTGGTGCACCTGGTGGGCTGGGAGGTGCCATCCAGCAACGAGTTCAACAGGAGGCCACCAAGATGGCTGTGAATGCTGCTGCTAATGAACTCATGCATACTTTTGGCTTTGGGAAGAAGTAAAGCTGCAAAGCATGATAGCACTCACTACCAAGAACAGTTGTATAAGGATCATCTCATGTATAAGTATCTCTCTAGTATCCAAATGCTTGTTGGGAATCATAGATTTTACTTTTATTTCCATGAAGATCATGATGCTACTAAAAGCATGAAAAACAGTTACGTGGATATATTTATCACTGCATAGGAGCTTTTTTATGCTTACCTTCAGATCCTTCTTGTTCCATAGACAATGTCCTCCTGCATCAGTTATGTCTCAGCTCCCATAGCAATAAGTTAAGTAAATCCACCTCAGCTCAAGGTAGTAATCACAGGTGTCAGGGAGTTGGAGCTTTTGAGAGAGGAAGATTATGCAAAAAAAAATATTTTTCACATTCATTCCATTAGTACCATCATTCCATCCAGTGGCATGACATGGGGGAGACCCCATTGACATTTGCAGGGATACTGCTCCTTCAGATGTAAAAAATTTTTTACCTCCAATCAAGCTAATTTGTCATTCCATTGATACCATCATTCCATCATTGGCATAGCAGGGGGGGATGGGGAGAAGATTCTTTATCAATATTTGCAAGGATACTGCACCTTCAAACTTAAATTTAAAAAATATACTTACCAAGCTTAATTTCTATCTAATGCTACAGATTTGAATAGAAATGCATCTGTATAGCTTTGGAGATCTGTCTCCTTTGTTATAAAAAATTTAGTATAGGCTGCAACTAGCCTCTCACTACATCCAACTGAAAAAAGTACTATGTGAGGATATTCTGTTAATATTCTTTCCTTTTTGCTATCTGGAGTGGCTGTCAATATCCAGTCAATGTCATAGTCATTATTCACACCCCTTACCCACCAAACTTTCAGGTTCTGATTGCAAATCCAAATGGTGATGCCCCAAAGCACTACATAACATTAATACATTAGGTGAACAAATGGAAGTACTGGATCTAAAACTCTGAATTTAGGCAGGTTCTGGGATCCAAAATGGTGGTAACTCTGAAGTGAAGCTAAATAATAAGTTTTCAATAAATTGCATCATGGGTTGGTATGCATCTATTTATCTGTATGGGCTCATAGTTGGATTCAATCATGCCTCATTATACAAGTTGAGAAAGGCTGTTAAACATCATGCTTGCCCTTTTCAGATTGCTGATTTTTGTATTCAGTTAGGCTCCCCCTCCCCCCAAGCAATAGATGTAGTTTCTGCAAAAGTGAGACACCTGGTTATGCCACTGATTCCAATTGTTAATGGGATAATTCCATTCCTGTTAAAGTGAGAGCAAATTAATAGAGAAAACTGTTCATCACCTGACTGCAAGTTTCTTTGTAGGGAGACTGCTCAAAGTGTCTCCTCTTTCTTTGTAAACTAGAGAAATGCTAAGCCATCTTCAAGGATGGAGACATGTTCAGCAATAATACAGTCATTATATCTGAGAGTGTGCTGAAAGGTAGTGGTGAGGTCTGTGTATCACCTCATCAGATTGCAGTCTCTCCCTAAAGTTTGTATGGGAGAAAATACATTTTCTGCAAATTTTTGCTAAAAATTACTTTCCCTCCCTCCCCCCTCCTGCCCATTTGCCTCTTTTGAGAGTATTCCTTGCCCCAGGCACTTCCACAAAATTCAGGAGTTAACCCTCATATCAGCAATAACTAAGTTTAAAAATCTCTTGGATGATCTGGTTGAAATACCCTGTCATTATCAGTTATCACTGAGACTCTGATGTGAGTGCTGCCTATCTTGTTTGGCCCTTGAGAGTCCTTGTCTTGGAGAATCCTTCGTCCTTGCACATGTATGTTGGTCCTGTTATTGTTGAGTTTCAGTCACATGATCTGTTGACATGTCAAGTGCTCTTGTCTGAAGCCATGAATGCTTATACAGTACTATTGGGAGTCTTGCCCACTGTCCTCTATTCATCTGAATCTCTGTGAGTAGCATCTGAAGTGTAGGTGATTGAAGCTACCAGTGTAGAAGAGGAACACGTGAAAGTGTTTGCCGTTCATATGTCCTTTTATGTTTTTGCTTCCAGTAGGCCCCCTCGTCGTTCAAAAAGCCTGCGTGGGCAAGCTGAATTCTGGCACTTTGATAGAGGTAGAGTGATTGTAAACCCATTGAAGCCCAGCAGACACAATTTTTCAAGGTACTCCACCCATTTTTAGCTCGTATCAGCATTGGTGAATGGCTGTCAACTCATTTCAGCTTCAAGGTACTTTTGGCAACCATATTTATCTCCTGGAGGTAGTGAACAGTATTAAAATATTAGGTCAGGTATTGTGAGACTTTGTGTGTCTTGTCACCTAATATGCTTGATCTTTACAAATTTCTTTCAAGATTCCAATTTGCTTGGATGCTTTATGCAGTTTCCATTACAGAGCAGTTTGGTATGGTTTGATGAGAATCTCCTATAGCTGTCATGCAAGGATGTCAACTCATCTTTAAAGTTGTAATTGATCTTATTGCATTGTCTGCATATTTTTTTATAGTAATACAGGTCAGGGGATAAACATGTGTCATCCCTTAGCAGCAATGACTGTAACAGAGGATGATATATGCATGGAGAGTCCTTGAAGCTGAGCCAACGTGTAGCACCTGACCAGCTCACTAGATCTGGAGTACGAATATTTCCACTAAAATTTAAACTGTCTTGTTAACATCTCATTCAGCCTGATGGATGGGCTTTTCTCCTCTGTCATATAACATATTTCATAATGCATTTATCATTAGAGAAAAGCATTGGTCGAGGGTGATGCTGGGATGGTTGTATTGACTTCTCATTCACGAGCAGGGTCATTGGGAGGTGTTCTTGAAGTCCTTTTGAAAGGTTGGGAGTGTTTGGTACACCCTCAGTTAAGAAAGCCGATAATTTCCTTTAATCTTCAATGCTAGACCATATCAGATCTAGGGTTGGAAATATAATCCAAAGAAGTCAGAATTAGAATGAAAAATCAGAATTATTCCTCAGTTGCAAGTATAAAGTGAAAAAACTGAATATGGCGATGTCAGAAGGTGACTGAAAATGGTGAGAGATGGAAGACTGGATCTGATGTGAGACAGGATGTTGCTCTGGAGAAGTATTGGTTTCATGTTCATTGTGTTTGGAAGTTATTATAGTTGTTTTTGATTTGCTGCTACAGTGTTTTTCCATTGCATTACCATAGGGGCAGAAATAAAAAAAAATGAATAAAACCAGTTCCATGTGACAAAGGTAGTTTTCATTCAGAACTGGGATATCATTCACACTGAATTTTTTCAATCCTGAGAAACTGAGGAGTTGAAGTGGTTTGATAGGGCAATGTTGCTACAGCATTTCTGTTATTGATGTTACATTCTGATCCTAACATTCAGTATGAGCAGCACAAGATTTTATCATCTTCACAAGGGAAAGAGATAAGTCCTCTCAAAACTTTGACTCTGTAACATTCCATACACTTCTTGAAAAAATGTGGATCAAGACCACCCCTTTGCTCCACTGGGGTTAAGCTCTCTGCTTCTTGCTTCAATCCTGGAGGCTACTAACCTGCTAATGCCCTGCTATTGTGTGGTTCCCTCCCACTACCTTTTTTCCTGCTGCTACTGCTAGGAGCATGTCAGGTGCTGGTGTGCCTTGTTGACTAACGAATATAATGTTTTTGTGCTGATGAATGTTTGCTTCTAGGCACAATGCTGCCCTGATACTAGCAACTACATAGTGTGTCATGTTGATTAGTGTTTGTGCATAGGCTCACAGAATGTAATTTTATTTCAAAATCGAAGTGTTATTTCGGACAGTGGTTCTCAATTATGGGCCATGGAGGCACTTCGAATGGGCCATGATAAATATCTGTAAGTTTTAAAATAATTAAAAGTTAGATGAATAAAAATTATGTAGCTTTTAAGCCTGTAGTGGGCCTCAGATCACATTTGTTAAGGTGGGCTGAAGGATCAAAGAGATTGAGAACCACTGGTCTAGGGGCAATGAGTTTATTTATACATGAGAGCAAGCCATCAATTCACATTTCTTTGAAATAGATACTTTACATCCCTCATGCAGAACTATGAGTTTATAGAAGTACTGCTACTCCTGAAAAGTTATTTACAAGTTTTGCTGCTTCTCATGGAAGTGGAGTTCTTTTTCATGTTTTGGATATTGTGTAGATGGTACAAACAGGAATCTGAACTCTTTCCTGTGCAACATATTTATCTTGAGATTCAGCATAATGCTGTTGTTTACAATTTTGATAAGTTTGACAAGTACAGAATTCTTACTTTAAAGCAATGATAAGAAGCTTATACCTTATTGTCTTGGTGGTCAGTGCTGAATGAGTCCTGTCATAAGTAAATTGTGCTGTGTGCATTTGACATCCATGAAATGTTAGCATTATAATGTGCAAAACTCATTCCATCTCCCAAGTAACACTCTGTGTCACCAAGGAGATAGTAAGAATTTTGCACTCTTCATCACCTGAATCACAGGAAGCCAGTGTCATTCTTCATACTTGGGCTGTCTAGTGATGTCTGTTGGCAGTTTTTTCACTGTATGCCTGTTTTGCCTTCCAAATTTTTTATTTATTCAAAGATGGGAAAACAGCATGACATGGAAGATTTACAGCACCTATCTTGTGCAATACAAAGATACTTGTGATGGAGAAAATCCCAACCAATATTAATGCATAAAAGATTTTTTATTACTAAGTTGGGTTTGACTGGAATCCCAAATCCCAAATTCATCCCATATAATCCAAAATTGATTCGTAATCATATGTGATAACTGAAATTAATTTAAAACTCTGAGTTAAATCCTGAAAGTGTCCCAGTCAATCTCAAATATCAATTCAGAAACAGCACTTTGTCACACCATTTGCCTTACATCTGGAAAATGAAATGCCTGAATTATTCATAGCACAGGTTGTGTGGCATTTCTTTCAAAAAATAACTCTGGATCGAAGATGTCAGATGGTCAAATCAATGAATCAATCACAAAGCCTTTGCAGTGTGAGAATCCATTGATTTCCCCCATTGTTGCTCTGTACCCATATCCATTGCAAACCTATCTCTGCACTGCACACCCTAGATTGCTGTAACCTTATATAAAAGGGCAAGGTGTCTCTTTCATGTGACAGGGCTTATCCCAAAATCTGTGTTGACAGGAGTACCTAGAGTAAAACTCTAAACATGTTTGCTCCAGAGGAGTTCAGATTTCTTTAAGTTGATCAGAAGTCTCTCTCTGAACATATTTTTAAAACTGAATTTGTGACATTAATGTTCAATTTCAGGCGCCCCGGTCAAATTGTGCCCCCAAGAATTCCGGATCGACCTCAGTTCCCGTCTAGAATGCATTAGTGAACTCCAGATTGGGATATGTGACTCTTAAGTGATCTTTCCTATTTTCTCCTTCTCAGTCATTCTTGCAATTTGATTTTCTCCATCAGGGCAAGTGAATGAAAAATGTTTGTGATTGTGAAGCCAAGATCCTGCTCAAAAAGTTGCAAAGTTCTTGAAAGTTCTTGTTGGCCCATGTGCAACGCTTGTATCTGAGCTCAAAAACATTATGGCATTTTTTTCAGGTTTCTTTTGTTGCCTTTCCCCTTCTCTCATCCAGTTTGATGAATGATAAACCAAGTAAACCAGAATCCTGAGACTGAACCAGTATCCCATCAGTTAAGCAGGGTTGCCTCAAGGCAAAGGGCACGTCCACATTCCACTGCAGGTTGATACGGGCCACGTTTTGACCAATCTTATTCAGCCTTAAAGTGAGACATTCATTTTTTTGGAATGGACATTGCATATGTGAGGAATTTTGGAATTATTTTATGTTTTCTGTTTTATTATTTCCCTATTTATCACTTCCTCATTGCTAACTTGGTCATTTAACGGAGGATTCATCCCCTCAACTTTCCATTACAAAACTATATTTGTCCTAAGGGCATCAAGTCAACGTGATACGTGAAGTTTTATCTGTCGGTGTGTCCCGTCTTCGTCGTTTTTTGGTGGCAATCTGTTTGCCGAATTGTATCATGATGCAATGGCCAACTGACGTTTTCTTCCTTTGCGTGACTCTGCTAAGCACACTATCGTGGACTCATCCATCGATGATACTTGTGACTCTCGGATAGATGTATGTTGAACCCTTGTGTCGCATTATACTGTGATCAATAGAAAGGCTGTATATCTTTTGTAAAAGTTATTGCATATTTTTAAAGAGTATGTCATCGAATGTCACCCATTGAATTTCCTTTTCATCAGATTTTGATGGCACGGACAGGAGAGACATGACGGAAATATAACGTTCATCTTTGTGGACACTATTTTGTTAACAACTAAGCTGGCAGTGTTGTCACTTTGGCAGTATGTGGGAAATCGATTCTGTCGGGAGGATTCGGTCTGTTCGGGGGGTCCTCCCCCTCACTTGAAGCACACCGGCCCCACCTCGAAGCCGAACGCTTGGTGGGGCATTCCGTAGTCCACCGGAAAGAAGTCGACTAGCGGGAGACGTCCTTGCTTGTCGGTCCGGATTTCGAACACTGTCTTGCTGTTCCGGGAACGGCTCTGCCCACGAAAAAAAAGGTTTTTAGTCAATCGTAATTTTTGCGTAAATTGGTTTATAAATGATACTGCGGTGTTAGCCAATTAGAAGTAGTTTCCTGGAATTGCTGCCTTCGTACATTCGCGCTATCTCACCTTGCAGTCGTCGAAGATGACATTCGGTCTGAACGAGGAGTAGCTCATGATTTCGTCGTTATCCCCTCTCAACTTGATGGATTGTTGGTAGTCGTTCGAAACAGCGTTGTACCACGCCGCCGAATTGATACACGTGTAGGTGAAGTTCTGGAACACCTCCTCGCTGAGGAGCCGCAGGAATGTCATTTGTACCACACCGATGCTTTCATAAGTTATCTGTAACGATAAAAAAAAGTTATATCGACAACCCCGCGCAGCCCCGCTCGACCCCAGTCCCGGCACCGACCTTGAAGCCTCCCCTTAGCTTGGAGAACCAGGTGGCAGTCGCCCCGTTCTTCCTCCACGGGATGTTGGGCATCTTGGAGGCGTGCATGTCCGGGAAGACGCAGGACTGGCCCCCGCCGGTCATGTTGCAGAACACGTAGACCGCGTCGTCTGGCATCCCCAGGTTCGGGTCGATCCAGTACCAACCTGAATGCAAACACGCGCTGCAAGTTCGCTCCGCACTTCCCGAGCCGCTCGACCCTTACTGGCATTATTGCTGATGCCGTTATGTTGCGGTCGTTAGGTACAGCAGATCGATTCGAAAGGTAGATAGTGCGCAATTTGACCTATCGCATCGGAACCGCAGTTTTGACGGATAAGCCGTTGGGGAAAACGGAACTTATTGGGACATCCGAGAAAGTGCATTCCTGTGTCGCAGTGGGAACAGCATTTTTATACAGGTGTTTTGCCCTTGATGCTTCCATGAGTCATCTCGAAATACTCATCCTGGGTGAATCTCAACGACCGAAGTGTTTTGTTCCTCTCCTTAGAAATGGCGGCGCTTTCGTATCTTAATTTTTTTTACATTTTTTGTATTGGATTTGTACTGAAGGCAATTCGCCTTGTACAATCCCACCAAACTTTTGCCATAAAAAAATTTCATAGTGATATTGTATCGTGGTTGAACCAACGTATAGCTTTGGAGGGGCTGTGATGAGCATCACGCCACGCTCAGTCTAGAATTGGTTTCCTCGAGAATGCGCGAGTCGATTCATGCTGGTGGGTAGGCAAATCGGACGCCGTGAGAAGTGATCGAAGGTCGCTAGAAGAGCTGTCAAAAAAGTCAATATTATTGTGCTTCTATGAGAGAACCGTGCCGATTTCCGCGAGATTTTGGGACGCGGCAAATGACAGTAGAAGAGAATCTCAAACCGACAAATCAACCCTGTAGTGCCTTCGAGGAACCAATCCGCATCGGTAGGAGAAGCAAGTTAACAAAAAAAAATTGTATTATGCCCTGTGAAGTGCCATAAACCGGGTTCGCCTATATGCTGTTGGATGCCTGCGGATCACGGATACGATTCCTCGTCTAATGAATTCTTTTTTATCCGAGAGGATTCGCGTGTCGTCGGTCGGAGATGCTCGTTCAAAAGCCTATCTCGTTATTCCACACCGTTTTCAGCGTAGAGATAGCGCATGAAAAAAATAATTCCCTGGACAGATTCGAATCCAGACCGGATCCATCCGAGAGATTTCTCGAAACGAGACGCGACCCACCATCGCCGAGCTGAGGGTGTCCGAAGTGAAGGTCCTTGCAGGAGCGGACGGGGTTCTCCTTCGTCCCCAGGGGCTTCCGGATCCTCTCCAGCTCCTTCCGCATGGAGAATATGCTCGAGTACATGTCCATGAGCTTGGAGTCGAGGTCGTCCGAGCCGCTCCATTGCTTCTTGGGGTCGGTGCTGCGAGGGAGGGGGGACGCCGCGTGTTTCGAGTCGTCGAGGGGGGAAAAAAGCGTGAATCGCGGGAAACTCACGAGGTCTGTCGTCGCACTCGAGCGGGTTCGTCTCGCTGCAGGAGCAGTTCGATCGGGATGTTGAGGGGGAGCTCCCCGGGTGGGCCTGGGGGGCCGGGTGGGCCGGCCGGGCCGAGGTCTCCCTTTGGACCGTCTGTTCCGCGGGAACCCTTCTGGCCGGACGGGCCTTCCGGGCCGGTTATGCCCAGGGGTCCGTCGGCTCCCTTCATCCCCTGGAGGCCTGTTGGACCCTGAAGAGGAGAGTGAGATGTTCGTGGAGGCTGCTTACTCTTTTAGGCGTGATTTGAAATTTTCCCAATAAATTTGAGCTTTCGGAGGTTAGTTCAAGTGTGTCGTCTCTGGAGATTTTAAACCTTTCTGCATGCCTTCTGGGAAGAAAGAGAAGCAACATTGGCAAAAAGATATCCAAAAGAGCTTGGAATCCACTTGATTGCCATATGGACAGACTCGACATTTCCGGTGGGGGGGGGGGAGGAATTCCATTCCATTGGATTCCCAGAATCGATATTCGATATTCTATCTCGCCTCGAGAACGACAATAAATACGACAGCCAACATCGAGACCTGCGCAGATTCAGAGAAAATGGAAAAGGAGACAGACCATTTCACCCTTGGGACCTTGTATCCCAGGGGGACCTCTGGGTCCCGGTTCTCCCTTCTCCCCGTGGTCACCCTTGATCCCAGCCGGTCCCATCTCCCCGCTGTGTCCCTTCTCTCCCCTGCGTCCCTGGTCGCCCTTTGCTCCCTTGACACCCGGCGGCCCCACGGACCCGGGGGGCCCCGGCGCTCCGCTCTTCCCCGGCGGCCCCACGTCTCCCTGCAACACCCAGAGACCCACGTCCCATCTGTCACCCGTCCGACCCCCCGCCCCGCGACCAGTTTCGTTCTCACAGCTGGACCCGGCTGTCCCGTGAGCCCCGGTGGACCCGGCGGCCCTGCGTTTCCTTGGTTGCCCCTCGGCCCCGCTTTCCCCACTGGTCCCACGGCGCCCTTGTCTCCCTTCTCTCCCGGGGTCCCCGGACTCCCTTGGGGACCCGCCGGACCCTCTGGACCCTGCAAAAAGCGAATCCGGTCTCAAACACTCTCCTAGCCAATCTCCTGCAACACGATTTTCCCGCTCTAATTCCCCACTCCTCGAGCCGTCTCGTAAGGACTCTATTACTCGGAGGGAAACCTCATTTCGCGCTCCAGCAACTCGACAAGGCTTCTACGTTCAAAAGCCTTCCTCTTGCAAGAAAATTTCGATGTATATTTTGACACTCCGTGACTCGATACCGAAACGACGACACTTCGCCGCCGCTTTGCACGGCTGCCGTCTTGCACGCTCCGGATCCTCGATTAGGACACGGCCGATGCGGGTGGGAGCATCGCGTTGCAGGACTTTAAAGGGACTCGCAGCAGGACTTGGGCAGTGGAACTCACGACTTTCCCCGCGGATCCAGGCAGACCCATCTCGCCCGGTGGTCCGACCTGTCCCGGAGTGCCCGGTGGACCCACGGCTCCGTCGTCTCCCGGCGTCCCCGGCTCTCCCTTCGGCCCCTGCAACGACGGAAGAGCGGCGATTTCGTTAAACAATTTGTTTTTATTTATTTATTTATTGTTTCGTCGAGGGGTTGAGGGACTCACTTGGGTGCCGGGATCTCCGGCGGCGCCTGGGAAGCCGGGGGGGCCGGGGCTGCCCTTTGGTCCTTCGGGGCCCGGGGGGCCTCGCGGACCCGGACTCCCCTGGATCCCCGACTTCCCTTCGCTCCCCTTCGGCCCCGGTGGCCCTCGAGCACCCTGCAACAGTCCGGTTCGTTTCGGCCTTCACTCGGGAAAATATTCTCGAGCGGGATTGCGGGAGAAAAGTCACGTGAATTCCGTCGTTTCCAGGTGGACCCGGTGGTCCCGGGTTTCCAGGTTCGCCTTTCATGCCTTGAAGTCCCTCCGGTCCAGGTGGCCCAGGCAGTCCATCACCTCCTTTGCTTCCCACCGGACCCGACTCCCCGGGTTTCCCGGGTGGGCCAGGAGGTCCTGCAGGAGAAACGCGATGAAACGCGTTCGTCTCGTTTCGAGCCGCCTTCGAAACGCGCGAGGCCGAACGATCGAAGCAGGCCGGAAACTCTAGTTCTCTTCGCTGCGGACAGTTGTCGCGCCGGTCGCACGCTTCATCCCAGAGATGGCGCGCGCGTCAGTCTTTTCCGTCGAGTCGGTCGCGTCGCGTGGGAAGTAGTACGATGCCGTCCGCAGCGATCTCGAAAGGCCATTTCCCCCGCGCAGACACCCTCGGATCGACGTCTTGGACACACAACCGTGGAATTGAAACTCCCAGCGATGTGAGTGCCGACACTCGAAGCATCCCGATCGAGAACGACGAAGCGCCATCGTCACGAGGTAACTGCTATTCGACTTTCCTCATTTCGTTCGCAATCGCACCGACTCTCGCAGTGAAGTCATGTTTACGACGTGCTGCGATCAGACGGCTGAAATCGCGATAACGCAAAAAAAAAAAAAAAAAACAGAAAACCGAAAGCGGCACGACGCAATCGCCCCACGTCTCCCTGCAACACCCAGAGACCCACGTCCCATCTGTCACCCGTAATCAGACGGCTGAAAACGCGAAAACGAAAAAAAAAAAAAAAAACAGAAAACCGAAAGCGGCACGACGCAATCGCCCGCTCGCCGACCTAGCAAAAACCCCCCAAAAAATGCATTTCGAAGGAGCGAAAAGACTCGGAACCGACCGACTTTGCCGTGATCCCCGATGTCTCCCTTGATGCCCGGTGGGCCCGGCAGGCCCTGCAGCCCCGCCGGTCCCGGCAGCCCCAGGGGTCCCTGCGGTCCCTCCTCGCCCTTGCGGCCCGGCAGCCCCATGGGACCCGGAGGGCCCCGTTCCCCCGGGGGTCCGATCGGCCCCGGGGCGCCCGGGATCCCCTGCTTCCCCGGTGGACCCGGTGGCCCCTACCAGAGAAACCATGCATTTCGTCTCGGTTTCGGCACTTCAATATGTTTTCCGCCATTTTCGCCGATTTTGGCGAAAATGACGGATGCATGCACAGACGATGTTCGGCTTATGGAACTTTCATTTACGGTGATCCGTATCCGGATCCCAGCGTTTCACTCTCCTGTCCGTCATGCGGAAGGAAACGTTACAGAATCGGATTCCCGCTCGAATGCGCCTCAAAGGAAACGGAACGACTGAACGAAAGTCGAGAAGAGATTTCCTCTCGGAATGCTGCGAAAAAGCGGATTTCGACCCGGGGTCGCTTCCGGCTCCCATTTCGACACGTGGCCACGAATCGATGGCATCAAAAAGTGTCGTTTTATGTCCTTCGGATTGGGAATCCTTTACTCACGGAATGCCGAATGCGATATTCCGGAAGATCGCGTTCGGCCGAGGAGATGAGCCCAATCGGAGACTAATTCAATTTTTATCCCGCCGCAAATGCCATCGCGTGGGCCAATCGACACATCGATGAGATGCGAATTCCATCTCATCGGTGAGTCTCTCATGCGATTTGTGATTCCGCGATCTCGAAACGTTCGACGAAGGGATCGACTCGGTTCGCGCCTCCGTGGACTCACGTTGTCTCCTTTGGAACCCTTGTAACCTTTCTCTCCCGGACCGCCGGCTTCTCCCTTGTCTCCGTCCTCGCCGGGAGGCCCCATGGGACCGGGAGGACCCGGAAGTCCCCTGGTCCCCGGCAGGCCGTCTCGTCCCGTGGAACCTGGGAGTCCCGGTTCCCCCTACGACGGAAGCATCGAGGTCATTTTTTTTTATGGGGGGGGGGGGGGGGGGGAGGGGAGTTCGGTGCGTTACCGTGTCTCCCTTTGCTCCGGATGGTCCCACGGGGCCAGGAGGTCCCATAACGCCTGGTGGTCCTTGAGGTCCTTGTTTTCCGGCGTCGCCGAGGTCTCCTTTGTCTCCGACAGCTCCTTGAGGACCCGGAGGACCCATTTCTCCTTTCAGGCCTTGGATGCCCTGTAAAAGCATGACGTAGTCTCGTGCATCCATGGATGCATGCATTATGTTAGGCTGAAGTAAGGCTCGGCTAAGGTTAAGTTGAGGTTAGCATTGCCCCCTAGCTTCGTGAGGGCAGGATGGGAATCCTTCGAATGGGAACCTGTAAAAGGCTTCAAGATTTTCAAGGTAAAGTATTTCCCGACTTCGACTCGCAACTCGAAGCATCTACACTCTAAGAAAAAGGGGAGCGATTTTTCTCAAAAAAGAGAGTAAAATAGCTAACTCCAGTTTCACTCCCCTTTCACTCTGGGAAAGGAGCGAATTTACTCCATCACCAAGGAGTAAAATTGCTCTTCTACTCCGTGAGTAAAAACGCTCCTATCAGAAAGTGATAGGGATGTCGTGCAAGTACGAAAATTCTCATGTATACTGTGTGTCGCTTTCGCTCTCATACAGGCGTTGACTTACCTCTGACTCTACTGATTACAACACTCGTCGGAGGGTGAACCACCTCTTATAGGTTCCGTGGAGTGTCTGGGATATCAGTCCCTTTTTATCTCACTTAATTGAGGTATGATTGAATGAAGTTCACGGATTCTTTGTATGTTCTAGATCTCCTATGCGAATAAGATCAGCCCAAAAGGGTTCCCATTAGGAATATGAGCTTGTTTGTGGCCTGGACTCTTTGAATATGTCTTGAATATGTGTATAACAAATGATGAAGTGTCCGCGTTTATTGATTCCTATAATGAGACTAGGCAAGACATATGGCGAGGTACTAAACAATCCTGCGAGGGACGATTCAAGGGAAAGAGGGAAGGGAACTTTTGTGTACTGTGCGAAAAGCGAGACCCTTACCTCCATCTAGTGGCCTGGCGAA